AGGATTGTTATCTATAATAGATGAAGATTTCTTAATAGTAACCAATATGAAAACAACCCAGTTAAAACATAAGTAAAGATGTGAGCACTTTATGAAAGAAGAGTCATAAATGGCAAGTAAGTATATGCCAAGATGCTCAACATACATGTCATTACTTAATTTTTTTGGGGGGGTGCTGGGAATTGAACTCAGGACCTTGTGCTTGCCAGGCAGATGTTTGTGCTGCTGAGCTATATCCCTGGCCATACATGTCATTAGAGTATTTCAAATTAAAACAGCACAGGGGCTGGGGATTTAGCTCAGCAGCACAACGCCTACCTGGCAAGCACAAGGTTGTGAGTTTGATTCCCGGTACCAGGAAAAAAAAAAAAAGAGACAAATTAAGACAGCATTACTGTCCCTCTTTTGAAATGGCCAAAATCAAGAATACTGACAGCACCAAGTGGTGGCAAGGATGTGGAGTAACAGAAACCTCCCTTTCCTTACTGGTGGGAATGCGGAGTAGCACAGCCACTTAAGACATTTCAGCAGTTTCTTACAAAAATACACTAACTCTTATGTATGATCCCATAGTCGCACTCCCCAAGAGTTGAAAACTTATGTCCATATAAAAAACTCCCTCCAAGGCTGGGCATGGTGGTACATATCTGCAATCCTAATACTTGGAAGGCTGAGGCAGAGGGGTTGCTGTGAGTTCAAGGATAGTCTGGGCTATATAAGGCCAGCCTGAATTACACAGCAAGACTGTGTCTCAAACCCAGCCCAACCCAACCCAACCCTATATGTAACTATTTATGGCAGCTTTATAATTGCCAGAATTTGGAATCAATAAAGATGTTGTTGAATAGGTGATTGGGTAGATTGTGCTATACCACATACAGTGGAATTATTATTCAGCAATAAAAAATGAGCTATCAAAGCTATAGAAAGGCCTTAAATACATAGTGCTGAAGTGAAAAAAGGTAGTCTAAGATGGCTGTATACTGTATAATTCCAACTATGTGATGTTCTTGAAAAGGCAAAGGTACAGTCTATAAAAAGACTAGTGGTTGCCAGGGATTTGGAGGGGTAGGGGTGAAGGTTACAGAGGTGGAACACAGAGGAATTTTTTAAAGGGCAGTGGAACTATTCTGTAACTACTTTAGTGGTGAATGCATACCATTTGTCAAAATTCATAGAATGTACATGAATAATAAACCCTACATAAACTATGAATGTTAATTAATAGTAGTGGAACTTAGCTGGGCATGGTGGTGCACACATGTAATCGCAGCGTTCAGGAGGCTGAGGCAGGAGGATCAAAGTGACCTCAAGGGCCAACCCTTGATCTCACTGACCTACAAGTGATCTCACTGGCCTACAAATTGAGCTCAAGGCCAACCTTAACTGCATCGTGAGACCCTGTCTCCAAAAACAAAGCAAAGCAAAACAGAAACGGGAACTGTGGTGAGAAGGTGTATATGGGAATCCCTTCACTTTGCACTCACTGCCTATCTGTAGACCTAAAACTGCTCTAAAGATGTAAATTTATAGAAAAAAATTCTCAATAGAAAACTACACATATACATACACATAGCTTTACATAAATATATTTCACTTGTATAAAGCTAATTTTACTAAGTGGAGGACAATTAGTATATTTCCAAGCTCATTTTTTTTTTTTTTTCAGAGAAATGTATATATGGCTGTTACTTTAAAAGTGTTTTTTAATATGACACTAGGAAGTTCGAGGGTTTTTTGTTGTTGTTCTGAAAGCATTAAGTGTACACTGTTCATTAGATATTATTAGATATTTTTGGATAACTTACCTCACTTAGTTTGAAGTAACACCTAGTCATCCCATTGCAGTGACGAGGAGACTCAGGCTCAGATAAGCAGCAAAGCTGACATTTGAATTGCTCCTGACTCCAAAGTCTGTGTGTTACACAGTACTGGTAATTCCTGTAGATTTATTTTTTGAAATGAAAGTGCTAAAATTTGTCCCTTAATGTAAATGTCAGTGCCTTTATAGACAAAATAATACTAAAAGAGATTGTCTAGATTTGACTTGGCTCTACTGCTTACTTTCTTTGTGATTTAATTAGGTTGTATTATCTTTGTGTGTTAGTTTATGTGTTAAATGGCGATAGTAATTGAGATTGTTGTGAGCATTAGATGAGTTAATGTATGAAAAGCTTTTAGAACAGTGCCTGGTACAAGATCTGAGTTCCATAAGTGTTGTTTATTAATTAGTAATGGAATATTTTCTTTTCTTTTCTTTTTAAGACAAGGTCTTGCTATGTAGTGCAGGCTGGCCTTGAATTCACAGCGATCTAGTTTCTGCCTCAGTCTGCTGAGTGCTGGAGTTACTGCTGTGTATCACCACATCCAGCACTTGACCATTTTTTTTAAAAAGAGAAATTAAAAAAAAAACTCCTCTTGTTTTTTTTTTTTTTTTGTCTTTTGTCTTTTCTTCCGGTACCAGGAATCAAACTCACGACCTTGTGCTTGCCAGGCAAGCGCTTTGCCGCTGAGCTAAATCCCCAGCCCCTACAAACTCCTCTTTAGGGGTCGGGGATATAGCTCAGTGGCACAGCACCTGCCTGGTAAGCGCAAGGTCCTGAGTTCAATTCCCAGTACCAAAAAAAAAAAAAAAAAAATTAAAAAAAAATTCTTCACAAGAAGTGTTTTGCAGTTTTTTCCTATCTGCTTAGAGTATATCACATACTATATGATATTTTTTTTCAATCAGCTTAATATAGTGAGGGAAAAGCATTACCTTAGGATGGTGGTGGCGAACCTATGGCATGTGTGCTGCATAGGCCCAGAGGCCCCTCTGTTGGCATGTGAGCCAAGTGTATGAGTTGTTTTTCCTAAACTTCAAACCTCAGGATTCAGCTTTAATCGCAGTGTTGGCACTTTGCGATAAATAAGTGGGTTTGGGGTTGCACTTTGGTTCACGGTTGGTTCTAAAAGGTTCTAGACTATGCCTTGTCCCTGGTTAGCTGTGTGACCTTAATATCTGATTCTGTTTCATTTATAAACTGAGGATGGGTTTGGGTAGATGATTTCAAAGTTCCTTTTTTAGTCCCAACAGAGTGTGAACCTGGGCTGCTGTGCCTTTGTTGAAGATTATTGCACTATGCTGCCATATGCAAAGGGCACTCTCTGCTGGGTGACTCTGGTAATCATGATTTCTCCACTACATCAGACTTTCTTAGCATAGTTCTCACCTTTTCTGGTTTTATTCTGCTTCTTCAATGTAGTTGGATTATTGGCTTCACCCTTTTATCAAGTTTGTGGACTTTTAGTCTCAAATGACCACAAAGAAATGTTGGTTTTGTCTTGTTTTGTTTTGTTTTTGGGCAGCTAGACTCATACCTAATTACTGAATGAATCTCTTAAAATGAAATAGGCCTGGGAATGGGAGATGTCGAAGACTCTATACAGTTGTATATTATAGCCTGTGTGTGTATATGGTATTAGGGATTGAACCCAGGACTTTGTGTATGCTAGGCAAATGCTTTATTACTGAGCTACTCCCCCAGCCCTTTTTTGTTGTATTTTGAGACAGATTCTCATTAAGTTGCCAAAATTGGGATGAACTTGTGATCCTCCTGCCTTAGCCTCCCAAGTAGCTGGGATTACAGGCATGTGCCACACACAGTATGGCTGTATAGTACAAACTTTATATTGAAAGTAAAATTTTAGTGACAGAAACATTTTTTAGATTTCTCAGACCACGGGGTTATGGTTTAGTTTTTGTCTTAGTTGTGTAGAAGCATTCCATAAATGGTAGCACTTGTGCTTGTAGTATAGTTCATTTTTAAAGAAAGTTACACACATGTGGGTGTGGGTGTGTCCACTTAAACGTCACTAATGTATTTCAGGGGGATTTTCTAAGCCAGAGTTACGGAGGTTGGTTATAGGATACAGATGGTTTGCATATAGCACGTAGCTGCGTGTCATTTGACTACAGTTGTGGGTCTGTTTTCTCATTTGAAGTATTGAGGAGAGTTAAATATAAAATATAGCAACCACAACTTCTCTAGTCCAAAAATCCAAAAAGAAATTTCTTAAGAGGACAGTGTAATACTAAGAAGCCATTACTGGTAATAGTTTTTTAAGGGAATTGCCATATTTAAAGAAAAAATATTTACACAAAGAGGAGAGTGTTTTCTTGTGAATTTACGTGGTATGTGGCATGTATGTTACTTCCTGTGATATCTGTGTCAGTAGAGAGTGTTCTGTTTTTATGTCAGTCTTTATACAGGTTGGCTTATAACACAAAGATTTCACTAATACTCAGAATTTACTTTTACCTTGTCTAGAATGAAGTACAGTTTCATAAAGGTGTGACTAAAGTCAGTAGCAGAATGCCGATTGTGGCTTCTGAGCAGAAATAAGCTGTGGGATTTTGGCGAGGGACATCGAAGGGTAATGAAATGAGAATCGAGTGAGATTCTAGGATTCTGGCATAGTGATATGTGGAGGCAAGAGGGTGTTGAGTCCCTTGGGGAGTTAGAGGTGCAGAGCCAGTAACACATTTTGAATTTTAGTCCTAAAAATAATTGAAGGGTAAACATTGTGCCAACATATACTGTGTCTAATGGTGGTATCAAGTGGAAAAGCATCATGACAGAGCCAGTGGTATTGCTATATTTTAAAGTGCCTTATCTGTGGGATTTTCACGTAGGTCTGGCTTTGTACCAATTTTGAATTGAAAATCTGATTGTTAATTGCATCATTATTGCCACCAGTAGCAGTATTGCTCTTTTATGTAGTGCTCCTTGAATGCAAGTCAGCTGGTTGCCATTGTGACTACAAAAGGCTTGATTTTCTGGTCATATCACTTAGGTTCTTGGGTCCAGGCCTTCAAAGGATGTTAGCTTTTTGTTTGAAGTGCAGTAATTTTCCTTCATACAGTTTCTTTTAAATCAGTGACAAATTTTAAGCTCCACACTCAGATATGAAACTCAATGTAATTAAGTGTTTTGAAAAGTTTTTCTCTTCTCTTACAGGTGTATTCCAGAGAAAAGTCTTCAAACATCTTTGCTGTATTTGATGCTGAGTGACTGTCAGGGGACTCAGGCTTATGAGGAGGTACTGTCACACAAAACAGTATCTAGTGAAGACGACAAGAAAGAGAGGAAAGGATCGGAAAAAGAAGCTAAAATACTATAGAAAACCATGGTAGGTTACTTACATTTCCTTAACTTCCTGCATACAAAAGATTCTAGTAGTTTAAAGTTAGAAGCACTGGCAGTGAGGGTGTGTGAAAAACACTGGTGTTAATTTTTGGCTATGGTGTATCAGATAAAGATTGCACTCTCGCAAATGAGTTCAGATTTATTACAGAGCCCTTAAGCCACAAGATGGAGCCCCATGAGCCTGCAGGCTATAAATTATTGAATACTGAGGAGGGAATGCTCATAAATAATGTTTTCTAATAAAACTGGTATTAACAAACTAATGCAGATAGCTAGTTAGGTGACCTTGAACTTGAAATTAATTTTTATTTAGTATTCTACCAGAATTTTGAGTTTTTTCCCCATGAAATTAAAAATCCTGAACCAGTCTTTTGTTATATGAATGGTGCAGGAATTTATAAAATATGTATTCAAAAAGTCACTCAAATGTTTTTAAAATAACAGGGTCAAATGTTATATATGTATGAGGGCTGCTGAGCTAAATATCACTGCAGGTTTGCTATTTGATGAGAGTTCAGACTCGGATTTATGATGTTAGATGAAGTTATCATCTCTTAATTTTGAATTGGTGAAATGTGCTGAATTGTTACAAGTGGGGAAAAAGCACAAAATATCTATCAATAATATGTTTAGAGCATGTTGTTTAGCAAATCTAATAGTATACCTTTAAGTGCTGCTTGCTTTTAAAAATACTCATGCGAAGAATCACGATGTTAACTTGCTCTTTATACAGAAGGAATTCTCATATCTTAAATCTGTGCAGTGGGGAAAAAGTGTTCCCCTGTCATTTTAGTTTCCTGGGGATATGTGAAAAAACACATTGTGACTTGTGTTGCCTCCCATGTGAATTTTTTTTGCCTTTTGGGGCTTTTTCTTTGAGGAGGTGGGAAGATAGGGTCTTACCATATAGTTCAGGCTGGCCTTCAACTCACTATGTAGCCCATGCTGACCTTGAACTCCAGGCGATCCTCAGCCTCCTGATGTGGCTTGTTCTTTTTTGTTTTGTTTTGTTTTTGTTAGGGTCTCACTATGCACTTCAGGTTGGCCTTAAGCTCACTTTGTAGGCCAGGCTGGTCTCGAACTCACAACAATCCTCCTGTCTCAGCCTCCTGAGTGCTGGGATCACAGGCATGCACTACTATGCCCAGCTAAGGCTTGTTTCTTACAGTCTTAATAGTTGTACAATTTTAAGAAATGCTTTATATGTATATTTTCATAGTTGATAGAATTTCTTTTCTCATTTCTTTTAAAATTTAGCTTAGATTTTCTAGTGTAGGAAGTTTTTAATTGGTTGTATTTTCCTTTTTTCCTATTGCTTGTTTCTTAGGTCTTAGATTTTGAGTGAGAATTATTCTGATTTGATTTTTTAATACTTGAAAAAAACCTGCTTGGAACTTATTTGTGTAAGTAGGGTCCCCCAGTTTTGTGGAATAGAGACCATTGTGTCAGTTCTTTTTACCATTACTTCACGATTCCTATTCTGTCATGTCTCGGTAGACTTTTGGGTTTAATCTTGGATTTTTTTTCTTTTCCTTAACCTTTTTTTTTGGTTTTTGAGACAGGGTTTTGCTATGTAAGCCAGGCTAACCTTGAAGTCTCTATGTTACCCAGGCTGGCCTAGAACTTGTGGTAATCCTCTTGCCTCAGCCTTCTAAGTGCTGGGGTTACAGGCATGCACAACCATGCCTGGTTTCCTAATTCTTTTTTCACCCCTTCCCTTTTCCTCCCTTCCCTTCTCCTCCGTCCCCTGTCAGCCCCCTCCCTCCTTCCCTTCCCCTTCCTCTCCCTCCCCTCTTGTCCCCCTTACCCTTTCTGCTCCCTCCTTTCTCCTATCTCCTCTCCTTCCCCTTCTCTTCCCTCCCCTCTCTTCCTCTTCCCCTCCCTTCCCCTTCCCCTTCCTCCTCCCTCTCCTCTTGTCCCCCTCCCCCCTCCCCTTCCCTTTTTCTCTCAAATGTTTGTGTGATGCAGCAATATGTAATTTTATTTAGATGGAACTCATGATATGACTCCTTTGTTTTCTTGTTACTTGTTCTGGGGTATCTAATGACTCAATTTAAAAAGGTTCTTTGTTGAAAAAGGCTCCAGTTGGAAAACTGGTCTGGATGTCAAGCAAGAAAGAAATCTGGACAGTTGGTTTTTATTGAGAAAACAGAAAGCTTTGTGATTGACATTAGTCCTGAGTTTATAAGATGGTTGAAACTTCTAAAGGATTACTTTTCAGTTATAATTTGCTTTACTTTTTAGTGGACAAGAACACAGTGTCACTACTTAGTTTCCAAAATACGATTTTTTTTTTTAACATTGATAATCAAAAAACAAGAGGCAAGATTAATAACTGTAAATGTTTTGTTTTATGGTGAAGACTTCAAAACAAAATAGTTACCATCAGGATTTTTTATGGTGAAGACTTCAAAACAAAATAGTTATCAAAATAGTTATCATATAGTACATAATTGCAGGTAAATAAGGATACTAGCACTTCTCTTTAAATGGAATACTTTGGGCTTTATGAAAACATACTGAGTTGCCCTTTTTCATTTTGGTGTACTAATAACAAATGTCTTCATGATATTTGTAAACTTAGAAATAGTAAAAAGTTTTAGAGGTGTAACCCATGAGTGTGAAGGGTCTACTCCATTAAATTTTGTGAAGTTCATTCTATTTCTGGACATTAGTCTACTCCACTGATTTTTTTTTGGGCTAGCATTTTAGTATAATGGTACAATTTGTCCATCTTTGTAGAATATTTCTTGATTCTGTCATTGACTTTTTTTTTTTTTTTTTTTTGCTTTTCCAAATGAACTTCAAAATGACTTTCATTGAGGTTTAAATCAGTTCTGAGATTTGTTTGTTTGTGACAGGGTCAAGCTATGTAGTCCAGGCTGGCCTTGAACTCATTGTGATTCTCCTGCTGTAGCCTCCTAAGTGCTGGGATTACAGGGATGTGCCCCCTGTCTCCCACCAGTTCTGAGGAGATTTTGATTCAGAATGAAATACGTACGTGTATAAACTAGCTTGGGAAGTTGATTGTTTTGCAGTATGTATTTTTCCCATTCTGGAATTTGTAATGTCTCCTGCTGTCCTATCTGAAAAAGTAAAGCTTTGCACCAGCTGTTTAAATGTCAAGTGTCAGATAATATTCCCATGTTTCCCATAGTTCACACATAACTTTCTATTATGCATTTGCACTGGCTATGCAGTCTCATTTTTAAGATGTGAAAGTCTCTGGTACTTTGAAAGGGAGTGGCTGGGTTTCATGATACACCGTTATGCATTTCTGGAGAGTTTCTTCAAGCTAGAAATATGTGTTTCTTATAGATAGCATGTAATATGGATAACTTCTTCCTTCCTTCTGTCCCTCTGTCCCTCCATCCCTCCTCCTTTCCTTCTCTATCCTTTGTTGGGTTCAGACCCAGGACCTCACACATTGTAGGCAAGTGCTATACCACTGAGCTCTACTCCTAGCCCTGAAAAACTTCTTTAAGCAGTATTCAGAAGCATAGGTTCAACTGAAAGATAGCATATGCACAATGCTGAGTATGACCTAAGTGAATGAAAAGACCATTGATTTTCTGGTTTGGTGGTTTAAGATGGGTTTTAGTTCCCATTCCTGAGCAATTTTCTTTTGATACCAGCTGCTTCATGATGGTTTGACAATGCTATGGGTTGACTTAAAATATATTTGTGTGTCATTCTTGTCAGGTGACATTTCTTTTATTGAAGTAATTGCTTCTTTTTCCTTCTGACAGAGATCTATTCGATCTTTTGCCAATGATGATCGCCATGTTATGGTGAAACATTCAACCATCTATCCATCTCCAGAGGAACTTGAAGCTGTTCAAAATATGGTGTCTACTGTTGAATGTGCTCTTAAACATGTCTCAGATTGGCTGGACGAAACAAATAGAGGCACAAAAACAGAGGGCGAGACAGACATGAAGAAAGACGAGGCTGTAGAAAACTACTCCAAGTGAGTGTGGCCTGGCCCTTGTGGAGCACAGAAAACCTCGGGGATTTCTTGCATTGAGTTTGTGATATGTTATTCTTTGTGTTTTCTTGTATATATGATTATAATCAAGGAAGTAAATGTTACATGGAGTTTTTGTAGTTAACTTTGAAAGGAAAGAAAGGAACAGTGGTGATTAAAGCCCTCCAAAAGAAGATGGACAGAGAGTGTATACAAAGGGCTTTACATTCTTTAATGTTTGAAGATTATGAAATGTCATCTTTTTTGCTGTGTTGGTTTAGCCTCCTAAATTCTGAAAGTCATGTTTTTGCTCCTGGGGGAAAATTCCTGGAGTAGAAGAGTGGGAAAATGTATTGTAAATGTATTTTGACTGTCTCTACCTTGTTGATTCATAAGTATAGCACAGTGTCTTGCGTATCATAAAAGTTCATTGTATATTTGTGGAACAAAGGAGGGGGTAGTGGGAGGCAGAACCTTCAACAGTTACAGTAAAGTGTTCTGGACATTGCCAGGATGTAGCGATTGGTGAGGTGAAACTGCAGTGGTAACTGTTTCTGCGTGCGGTGATGCCACTATGACTGAAGTGTGTCGACGACTGACTTGGAGACTGACTTCGAAAGGTGAAGACTGTTTGAAGGAGGGTACCATATTAATAGGCTTAAAGAGCACTCTGGCTACAACTTTTGTAAATGGAAGATAGAGGTTAACAGAATTTTGTTTTCCAGCTTTCAATTCTAAATCAGTGTGATAAGTGGATAGGAATAGTGGGAAAGTACTGACAAATTGATTTTCTTCACCGAAACCTTTTTATCTTCAGTTGAAAGACAGTCCTTGCCAGTTTTTTGCTGAAGAAGGTGATTTTTTTACTTTTCACTTTTTTTTTTTTTTTTAAA